AGCCAATCAGTCGCCCTTTTTGAGCCGAAATCTTGAGCCTTGAGCCATATATATGATATATGTATATATATAATATACATATATATACATATACATATACATACACAATATCCTTATATAGATATGTATATACAAAGGTGTCAGACATGTTTGTTTAAGCTCGGCTTCCCTTTGTCTATCCTGTCCACTTCGCATTGAATTAACACGAGGAGATTTGGCGTAGTTGGGAGAGTGCATTCTTGAAGTGCTAGCGCAAATGAGGCATCCAATGTGAATGGTAGACGGTGAAACAGGACGACTTGGGGGTTGTGCTGCTTTCCGAATGCTGTGACAGGCCTTCAAGTCGTGGGCCAACCCCGAAATCATGGGCTGCACTGCTGTTGCTTGGCACATCTTGAGACGCCTTGCCAGTAGTAGCTTCTTGCTCCTAGTAGCGATGCCCTTTGTTCCTAGTAGCTTCTTGTTACTAATAGTATGGCCAGGAGCTACTAGTAGCGTCCTTGCTCCTAGTTGTGTGAAGCACATTGAGGTTTGCGCGCTAGTCCGGCCAGAAGCCATTTGTGTCGCAAACGCTGGCGACAGCCGAGCTGTGGGGCAGCAAAGAGAGCTTGTTTTCAGAATCTGCAACATCCAGTTACATATATATATATATATATACATGTGTATATATATATGATACATATATATATATATGTATTTATATAATGTACGCAATATATATATATATATATATCTGCGTGTGCGTGTGAATGTCCTCTCTTGTTTCGTCGTTTCTCGCAATTCAAGGGTTCTTCAAGGAAACCAAAAGGCGATTGTTTGCCACGGCATGAATGCGGAAAGAAATGGAAAGAGCAAACAACCTGAAAAACCTTGTTTTCAAAAGCCTCTCCACGGCCTCCCACGGCTCTTTCGCTCCTAAAGTCTTCTAAAGGCGGGCTTTCCGTCGGCCTTTAGGGTGCATTCTTTTCAAGGTGCTGTGCAGACGCGGCAAGGCTATTGACATGCTGAGACCTTATTGGACCCCTCGTCCACTTGACTTGACAGTCCATGAACTTCTTTTGTTTCTTCTCCTGAGGTAGAGTATGAGCATGGGCTTGTTTTGCACAATAGTTGTGCCAGGTACAGCTTCACGATCATTGCTTGTTTGAGGTCCGAAGACCACAAACCAAACAACAAGGCTGAGCTGGCGCGCATCCTGAAAGCCCAAGCCTCAGCCAAGAACCGGAGCATTGACCAAACAGTTTTTCCTGAATGGTTTACTGCCTCCCTGAGAGAGTGACTTGCCCTGGATCTATTAACATGAACGCTTACAGCTCTACACCACACCTGTTGTCAAGAGCTTGTGTTTCATACACACCTGACTTCACCTGACCGGCTTACAGGCTGGAGGCGCGGTGCTGCAGCAACATGTTGGGAATCATGTTCATTACAGCGAGGGAGCCCAGATACACTCGACAGAGAGGTTGAGTTTGATCCAGTTTGTCGATTGCAGCAAGATTGCAAAACGCATCAAAACGCCAAAGTCATCAGACACGTGGACACAATTTTGACATCAGCAAAAGAATCCTAGTTGCGTGTTGGCACTGCTACATGAGAGAGATCCAGCAAAAACACAGGGGGCTACAACTCGATTGACATTCAATACCTCTCAGCTTGAGGAATAAATGGCAACCTGAATCTTTCGCGCTCCATTGGCGACCTTCTGTGCCCAGGGTGTTGCAAGCAGCAGTTCTATTTGTTTGTGACTATAGCAAGTGCATGCAAAGCTTGATATCTCCCCGTGGGCATTCCAAGGGGCAATATCAATTTAGGATCGGTAACACATCACGTAAATATCTGGAAGTTGATAATTGCTTTGAGAGGACACACTAGAATGGGCGCGCTTTTGAAACATCGCTGCATGTTCGGTTTGACTGGGAGGTACAAACAGAATGAGCAGCTCCCTGCTCAGGAGGGATGGGGCAGTGTGAAATCACGCACAGACGTGATTTTCTTGTGATTCTCTTGTAATGCGTCCGAACGCTGGGAACCAACATGACCCATGTTGTTTCATTTCATTGCGTTGTGTATGTGTTGTTTTGCAGCATGCTGCTTGAGCTGCTTGATCTATAGACACCCTACCAACCTGTCACTATGATGTGCATGATTCAGCAAAAGCTTCCACTACATACTTTTTTTTGTACACTTGCGAACGATTCTGTGAGGCTGATGCAAGAACACAGTTTCAAGTATTCACAAAGTGCCTGAGAACTTGGAAACAGGCAGCAATAGGGCAATGAGAACGTGCTAAGTCCAGACAGCAAACTCCTCCTTAGTCCTACCACACAAAGAACACTACAATCAATTGACCAATCTCAACTTCAGCAAGTGCTTAAAGACATTGCATGTTCCAAAGCTTTGTTTGGGTGAAACGAATGCTCCTTTGAAATCTGTTTGTTGCCTATTTGCTTTTTTGTTTTAAAGGGCGGCCGGATTGCCACATGTCAGGAGCAAGTGATCGTTTGCAACCCTGACGTGCGATACTTTCCTCGTCAGGCCATTGCAAGAGGGACACAAAACAGAACAGAAACATATGTTATTTGCAAATATAAATATATACATGTATTATGCAAAAAAATGTTGGGTGCAACGTAAGATGTAAAGGTTGTCAGTTTAAGTCGCAGGACAACCACGACCACATGTGGTGCAGGTAGATGACGAATTCATGATCCTAGCGTGTGATGGCGTGTTGGATTCCCAGCTTTCTTGGTCCTGAAGGGCCACAGCACATGCGAGCAGGACAACATCGTGAATAGGAGTTTGTGTAAGTGCGATGTTGCAAGAGTCAACAAGAGTCTCCACAGGAGTTGTTCCTACCGCAGAACTTTTGGCTTAAATCCCAAAGACTAGTTAAAGGAACTATAGAAAGCATCACTGGGGAATTGAGCTAGGAGTTTTGACAATGCGGATTTGCGCAATTTGCTTTGTACGTTGAGGTGGGATGTGCTTAGCAGCCAGGAGTGGATGTCATTACTTGGGGTACGCTGTGCTTCGCTGTGTGCGACTTGGCTTGGCAGCTTCAGGAAGCCGTGGACTTCGTCCGAATGCGGCTGGGTCGATTCACTGATTTGGCCTTCCGTATAAAGGACAGAAGTCTGGTTGGCAAAGAAGGAACGAAATGGAACGAAGGAGGGTCGCGTAGGGAAAGGATGCAATTGAGTGTTTGTTCAAAAGTGGTCAAAGATGCTTTGCGTGCCAATTGAACACGAAGGAGGGTCGCCTGCGCTTGTCCTCCATTATTGAGGAGAGGGTCACTTGCGTACAAGAATACATTGTCACATAGTCGTTGAGGCATTTCTTGGCGAGCGACATTTGCTCCACTAAATGAAGGTCTTCTGCTCCTGTTGCTGTTGCTGTTGAGGAGATGCTCGACGCTTGTGTCTCTCCAGACTTGGCTCAAACAATGGGCCTTGGAGGCAGCAAAAGGCGTTATTTTCGACTGGTTTGGCATAGTCAATCAGTTAGATATGTGTGCTGCTGCCTTGAAAAGCCTTCCAGCTGAAAACTGCTGCAACCAATCAAGGGGACCTTATTGAAACTCCACAAGTAGAAAGTTGAGTGTCCCTAGTGGAAAAAACTATTTTGCTGTGCTTTTGCACGGAATGGGATGGGAAAGGTCTTGGGGAGCTAAATCGGCAAGTTGGGGTGGGGAGGCTTGGTTGGAACCCTCGCTGTAGCAAGCGGTTTCTGATCGGATCATAGCAAGCATGCCAAAGTTGCACTTCAGCAAGTACTTTGCAGAAAGCTATTGCTGTATATAAGAATATAAGAGTCACGTTTCACTGTAGTAGTACTGTATCTTAGTTTAGTAGTTGAGTATTGCATGAAGCTCGCAGCCGGGTGTGAGGTGCTTGCAACATGTTTATAGGCTTGGAATGTGCAAAGAAAGGTTGTGTTTGGAAAGCAAGCAAGCACCAGCGATTTACTTGAAGGCAATTAGCCCACAGACAAGAACCCCCAAAGCACGACGTGTTCTTTCACAATGTACAGCAAGACCAAGATCTCAGCTGTTATGTTCGTATGATGCGCTGTGCCACTTCAATGGACATATATATATATAGTTTTTTTTGCGAACGGTTCGGTGCAACATGGATACGACATAGATACCATGCGCTAATTCACGAGCGAGCACATGGAAGGTGACAACATGACGGCCATTCTCGTCGTCTTCACTGATGCGGGTCGACAGGCTGTGTGAGTGTGTGTGTGTTTTTTAGTGCTATTATTGTTGCATTTCTTTTGTGAGGCAAGCCTCATTTGTGTTGCAATTTCAACGTGATACAGTGATACGCATTATTTTATATACAGTATAGATATAGAGGAGAAATTAGCAGAACAATCAAAAGGTACGGGCTTTTGTGCTGAATGCTTTCAGCACTAAGCTGGAAAGCTATCAGACCGAAGTGTGAACGAGTGTCTCACGTTAGGGTCATTATTGGTCAATGCGGCTTGCATTCCCAGCCAGCAAAAAAGCATGAAACGATCCGACTGGAATGACAGCTGCAGGCAAATTGGCTAGATAGTTCAATGGTTCCTGCCACGTTGGGCGCTAAGTTGATTGTTGCCATGTTGAGATTCCACCACAGCGCTCCCATCCGATGCGGCTTACCAAGGACTTGGATGTGTCCATACCGCTGACGGCAGCAAATGAGCATCTTTTGTTCGATTGTTCTACACAGGTTGTTGGACAACGACATGTTTTTTTGGCGCAAAAGCTGCATCATTGCCCTGCCAAGCTTAGAGTTTAAGTAGAGAGGTCTCACCGAGATTGAGCAGCAATCAAACTGCCGCCGAAAATGAGCCACCATTGACCCTGATTGATCAAAGAAGGAGAGGACATGAAAGCTATAGGCTTTGAGGTCTTGCAATCCGCATGTTCTTCATGTTCTTGTTGAAGTGAGGGCGACCCGGCCTGCAATTGTTGGTTTGGTTGATCATTCCACACTCCTTTTTCTCCATCAAAGCTGTGAATTGTTCAAGGTTCTTTGATACGCACATGTACAAAGTACATGAGTGCGTCGTGTAGCACATGGGACGATTCGCAGCGCACCTTGTCCTCCTACGACGTGGAGCCAACAAATCGGGCGAGGAGGCTTCAAGCAGCAGCTGCGAGTCTGCCGAGCAGCACTTGCAGATTTTGCTGCAAAAACGCAGTCGAAAGGCAGTCTGCAATTGAAGAAAATTGACTTCAACATACTTTAACCCGTACAGGTGTAGTAAACTTCGAACTCGGAGGGTGAAAAGGTTCAGCCAACAGTTTTGTTCTCGAAAGCAAGAAGTTGATGATGAACCTGTCCGCGTCCCTTTTGATTTCTATTGGTCCTTTTAACACGTTTTGTGATAGGTCTTGCAGGGCTTGACATATGGCTTCTTCGGTGGCAGTCTCCACCTTGATGAGACGATCCTCAGCTGCGATGAAACGCAGCCAGCAGAGGTGCGCTGCGCAGCTCGGCTGCGTGCGGCACTTCGCGAGGCAGCTGAGGAGGGCGGCGCCGGGCGTGGCCCAGAGCTCTCCGCTGTGCTCTTACCTGAGCTTGACGCTTTGCTGAAGGCGCTAAAGGCTTTGTCTTTGGGAGAAAAGTGTCAGACATGTTGACACGAAACACGCAGAAATGGAATGTATATAACTAATAACTACATAACTGCATTAACGGGTGATAGGTTGCCGGTGCATTTATGTTTTTTTTTGCTTGATTTGCTTGATTTATGTTGTTTGTTTGCTATGTTGTTTGCTTGCTTATGTTGTTTGTTTGTCTTTTGTTCGCTGAAGAGGGAACGGACTTTATATATATAGTATAAGTACAAGTTGGATGGCTCACAACTGAATGATTTGTCGAGCCAGCCGGTGCAGCCAAGGCTGGAGTGAATCGAACTTTGCCAGCTGAAAAGGCCCGGTATTGCATGTTGATGTGGCGCCATAGCTTATGGCCTCCATCCTAATAGCGATGGCCTCCTAACGCAAAGCCGCTACAGAGCTTTACACCTTTCCCACTTGCAGGTGCCAGGGGCTCGTCTTCCAAGCACTGTGGTCCAGCTCTTGTCTCAAGCCGAGTTGCCGCCTATGGTCACCTGCAAAGTGGGCGTGTCCTGGAAAATGTCTTGCAAGATGTCATGATGTTAACTGGTATCACCCGGTATCCGGTATAGCAACGCTTGACTGCCCCATGCATATTGAATCATGTACCTAAAAATGGAAGAACTCAATACACAAAGAAGTGGTTTGTCTGAGGAATATATGCACTACTTTGTCTTTCATTTGATGGAAGGAGTTGTCGCCGAAGAATGGATTCCTCGGGCACAAGCAAAGCATCGATGGGAAGTTGAGGAAGAAGCAAGCGAAACTCATTTTGGATACCGATGGGTCACACTTACAGATTGGGGGCCTGCTCTTGGAGGCGGGCAGCTTTGCAGTTGGGTGAAGGCCTTGTTTCATCATGAGAGACGGCGGGCAGACTTCTTGTCCGCAGTGGAGCTTCTTACGGGGCATTGCCTCGTATCCCAAGAGAACAAGAGCGTGAAATACACCAGAAGATCCGAGTCAATGGAACGAGCTCCGCCAGTGCCTCCGCCAAGGCCAGATAGGACAGAGAAGCCGCAAAAACCACCGGAGAAGCTGGCCGATGACCTGCAAGCCTGGCTTGCACAGATCCTACATGGCTTTGCACACATGCCATTCCATGGGAACAATAGGCGTGATGAGCTTGCAGCATCTTTGAGTTGCAGATGGGTTGTGGATTGCCAAGAAGTTGCAGCGGTTGAGCCTAGAGAGACATACAAACAGCTGATGCCAAATTCGGACAGTGCTGATGCTTTTCTGTGCTTTCATGGCACCTCAAAGGTTTCATGCCAGCAAATCGCGGTTTCAGGTTTTGATCCTTCAAGAAGCTCGGAAGACAATTTCAGAGCAGAACTCATGCTTAGCTGTATCTTTTGTTTCTCCCAGAAGCCTACCAAGAACTTATCCACGTGAGGGAACCTGAGGTCGGTGTAGTGCAAAAATGTAGCAGGACGGTCCTTGTACGTTGGGGCTTTTCAGCATCTCGCATATGTCTTGTCCCTGGCCATCCAGGAAGATCGCCTTCACTTGGAAAGATTGTGCCTTATCTAATTGGCGAGTATTTGACCTCCGACCCAACGGTAGCACTGAAATATTCGCGCCAGAAGGAGATTCACAATGAACCCTGGTCATGAGCTTGTATGTGTTTTTGTTTGGTGACCCGCAAATACCCCCAATCAATCTGGACCAGTGTCAGATAATTGTGGATATATATATAGATAGGTAGCCATACCAGCCATGTGTTATGTCACGGTTTGCTGAGGGCAGACGTTTCAACACCCAGCCCTCAAAATTCGAGGACACACTGAGCATTCTGGTCGTGCAGGTGCCCAACCAGAATTTTGAGATGCGGAATGGGGTATGGTTCCAACACAAATTCAAAGAAGATGGTGAAGGAAGCAGCAAGCTTCCCGGTGTCGATTTTGCTCAATCTACTACAATGGTGTGTGAAGATGAGCGCGCACTACTCCCCAGAGCTATTTTGACCTTTAGGCCCTCCAAGTGTATCACGAAAACCAGTTCTGCCATGGCCACCTATGATGTCGGCGTTGCTCCACAAGGAAAATCCTCTAACAATTGGCGAAGATTCGAAGCAGCTTTGCCGAAGGCAGTCCTTTTTGATCTCGATATGACTTGTTGGCCATATACATTGGGATCCGAGTCGTTTGGGCCGCCGTACACACCTATGCTGAAAGAAGTTGGGGCCACCGACTGCCGTGGCAGGCCTTTGCGCGTTTGTAGGGACATACCTGAGATCTTTCGAACACTGCACAAGGCAGAGATTCCGATTGTTCTTTGCAGCCGCAGTAGTGTTCCGAACTGGTGCATGGACTTCCTGCAGAACTGTCCATTGAACCCGAAGGTCGATGACACCAAAGTCAGTGATGTGATATCAGAAGCTTCTGTCATTCGTCCTGCAATCAAAAAGATCGGGCATTTCAGAGAGATCCGACAGCACTTTGATGTCCCATTTCATCAGTTGTTGTTCTTTGACGATGATCAACGAAACTGTGAGGATGGCCGACGCTTGGGCATCAGATGCATGAGGGTGCCGCGGAATGGGTGGGGAGTCACGATGGAAGTCTTTTCAGAAGGAATGCGCATGTTCTCTGCAGCTGCGCCAAGCTTGGCTCCCGAACAAGCAGCAGCCTCGTCAAGCGCACTCTCTGCAACCGCCCCGTCATTTGGTACTGCATCCAATCTTGCAAGTAGCGCTTCTCGAAATGAGTCGGAGTCTGTTGCAGATACTTCGCACAGGAAAGCCTCCAGAAATGAAGCAAAGCCTTCACCTCTTTCAACCCCACGAATGAAATCAGGTGAGCCTCAGGGTCCTTCAGGCTCACCTATGAAAGGATTGGATGCAAACTGTGCCGATTCCAAGGATTCCAATTACAAAGATAGCTTGCAAACTGTGCCGCGCCCACTTTGGGCTCGGACAAGCCCATCCTAGCGTAATGGTTCGTTAGTATGGGTTGAATTCATGAACGCTCACAGTCATTGGCGATGTTTGCCTTGGCACGTTCTTGGAGAGCAGATTTTTGACGTTTTGGGCATTGCAAGACAAAGGATTTGCTTGCTTGCCCACATTTTGTGAGATTAGTTTGCAAAAGCAAACGTTCATGGCTGGTTTAAAGCCATATCCAATCTCAATCCGAAAAAAGAACATGTAAGATGAATTGACGCAACTCTTCAGATGCTCTTTATGTTCAACCTCTTGCACAGACGCGATATGAGATATTGTAGAGAAGAGATTCTGTTTGTCCGCGTCAACATCCCACCCAGTCTTCTAAATCCGCCATTGCTAATTCTCGTGCTGCAACACAAAATTCACTTGATTCCAGCGACCTTGCCGTAATGCACGTTGCTGCCCCTAGCTTCATGATTGTTGTTCTTTTTTTGTAATATTTTATAAACTATTTTTCTACACCTGTCTCAGAGCAATGACCAGGATCCCAAGAATAGGAATATATAGCGACGAATTGAAATTTAGAATGACGTGTTTTTATCGATGCATATCCAAAACTTAGGCGAAACACTCGAAATAGGGGGAGGATCCTTATTATCGAAAAAAATTAATTAAAGAACATATTTTTCGGGACATTATATAGAATGACGCGCCTCTAAAATCCCCGATGCATTGAATTTATTATATCTTTTGGACGTATTAATTTATAAAAATAGATTAGTTGTAGAATGATATTTTACAATATTATATAGGATATTTATATTTAATAATTCTATTTTAATTATAATAATATATTTAATATAATATATTTCTTTTAAATAAAATATATATAATCTTTTAAAATCCGTATAATTTTCTCCGAATTATTTATATAATATAATATTAATATGTAATAATTTTAATTTGAATTAATTATGTTATTAATTAAAGAATGTTTAAAATTATCTTATTTTTATTTTATTAATATTTAATTTGATTTCGATTTGTATTAGGCGGAAATTCGATATTTTGAATTTTTTGAATTTGTTTTATTTATCGATTTATTTTAATTATAATTTGATAATTATATAATTTATTTAAAATTTAATTTTTTTTAATTTGAAATTAAATAATTGCAAAATATATAGAATTTAATTTATTTATGCATAATAAACAATAATTTAAGATATAATGGTTTTTTATATAATTCGTATTTTATATATTAATATTATTAGAATCTATTTTAGGTTGGTGAGATTTTTGCGATATATATTGAAACAAACTATATTGTCGATAATAATATATATTTAAAATCCCGATCGAATTTATGCCGTGCGATCTTCTAAATGGGTTCCAAAAACAGCGATTTTGGCCGTCATTCTAAGTGCGGGTGCTAATTTCTTCGACATTATTCTATAATTGAAAGGGGACTTTATGGGTCTATGGTATCGTTCTTTTAAATTATCTAAAGATTCCTCTATTATATATATATATATCCTTGATATATCGGTAGATATTTTTTTTAGAGAGCGGGGGGTGAGGGGGGGAATGTGAAAATTTTGATTTTGCAAGGATTTTAAGGATTCTATATGAATTTCGTAGAATGAAGAGCAATTTGATGGGATAACAACAATATCCAGCAAAGCAGAGCATGTTCTTGCAACAGACCTTTTCTTGACAGACGCAGACGGTTTATACTGTCCTCGCAATTTTAGCCGCTACTTCTTCACGATGGACTTCTTCATGTTCTTCTTCAGAATGGGGGACTTGGCGTAGGCATAAGCCTTGGAAGATTTCTTGGTTTTGGCGTTGTACTTGTTCAAGTAGAGAGCTTGTTTACAATCAATGGCCTCATTGTGCTCCTTGATGAAATGCAAGACCTTGAAAATATGCCGAAGAGGTCTGATTTCATTCAGCAAACGAGCATAATTCCGAAACCAATTGAATACCTGTTCTGCAGCGGACATAATGACACCCTTGAAGCGCTTTGCAAGGCGACGCACATACAAGGGATTGCATGGGCAACTCTTTTTATGCTTCTGGGCGTGAAGCGTGTCCACGCCCCAATATTTGATCTGCTTCAAGGTGGAGTCATGCGCAGCCGATGGGACGAAGGCACAGGCTCTGTCCAAGATGAAAGCGTTCAGGTTTTTGTAATAGGGCAAGGCTTTGACAAGAATCTCATGCACAACAGCATTGTCCTCAGGCTTGTCCATGCAAATCACAGCCAGAATGCGCAAATTCTTTGGGTTGACAAGCATGAACCAACCATTGCCATAAGGCTTGGCTGCACCATTTTTTCGAGGTCGATCTTTGTGCTTTGGAGGCTCACCGCATGCGCACTTGACATGCACCTTGATATGGCCATCCCCCACGATCTCATTCATTTGAGCTCGTCGATGCTTGGAAGGAGGAAAGATTTGATTATGGAGATGCTCATCATAGGCACGCAAAAGACTCCATCCTGGAAGATCCACTGAGATCGAAAATGAGAGGCTTGCTCATTGGCCTGCAGGATCCAACCCCGTTGTCATCCTTTGGCCTAACGACCGTATGTGTTGGAGATGTGATCGAATGTGAAGGACATTGGTTGAATTTGGATGTGATGCACTTCCTTCCAGGACAGGGATTTGTTAAGCAGTCCGATCTCGATCACGTGATCCGTGTACACTTGGAGGATTTGACATCCAGATCCATTCGATTGACACCTGGAATCCAAGTCATCTGCACAGGTACCAAGACCGTGAACTCCACCAATGATGAGTTGTGGTTGACCAATGCGACACTCACATTTCGGCCTGAATTTCTCTGCGATTTACCATGGTGTGCAGTGCACCAGTTTGCAGGAGCGTATGCCGGCTGGGGACAAGCATTCAGATGGTTGGGAAAAAATTTGGATTCCTCAACACTATCTGCAAGCCGTGATTCCCAACCCTGGACCTGTGACATGGAGGCAGGAACCTGTTTTGCCAGCAAGATACCCCTGAACCATCCGGAAAATTCCCCAGCATCATGTTGGGCTTGGGGATCGTGAATGAGAAACCAGTTGGTCAACATCCGGCCAAAGAAGTCATCCCGGCACAAATCAATTGTTTCTGTACACGAAAAACGAATCAAACGCGTCAGAAGCGGCGACCATGCATCCTACACTTCATGAACCGTGTCGGCCATCATGGCCAGAGTCCAGGGCTGTGCGGTGACCCCACTGTTCAAGTAGCATGTGGCACCAGTGGACCTGAGTTTCGTCTGTCGAATCCATTGGATCATCCCTTCAGCCGTTGCGACAGGGCCACTGCCAAAGGTGACCGCTGAAGGCCCGTAGGGCTGATGCGAACCAGGATGAGCTGAGTGATCCCGTTCCCTACGAGTCTCTGGATAAGGGCGTGAAGCTCGTTTGCCTCGGCTGAACGAAGTGAAATCTCTAATTTCCATGGCATTGCCTTCATGGCATCTTGCGGAATCGTGTCCTGCTTCGACGGGCGCAATGCCGCAAAACGATGCACCAAATGTGGATTGGCACTCAAGGTCTGCAGCCGTTGGAGGATAGAAATCATTTCTGTCGAGCTGATGGCCTCCTGCTTGGTTGGCTTCAAAATCATGGCCTTTGCATCCCAGGCCAGGTACTGCCATTGAAGGTCTGAGGTGATCATTCCCTTGGTGATCAGCGAATTCACCAATGCGTCATCTTTATCGATCCAATTGGGGTTTGCCCACCCTCGTGATCAACTCCTGGATGAAGGTCTGGAAAAGGGTCTGCCTGAGGGATTGAGTGGCTTCTCCGGCCTGCTTCGAAAGGCTCCAAGTTCTGGACTTCTCCAACATCAACGGCATCAAATTGCCCCTGCCACACTAAGAAAACAAGAGGAATGATTTGTCCATATTCAGGGCATTGAGCTGATCTTCGTGACGAAGACAAAGCCTGACCATCATGCTTGCAAGTTCTATGGAGCGTCCAAAGCTTGTCGACCCAGAATCCCAAGAGCCGGAGGGATTTGGTCCGGGGCCGCTTTTGGAATTGCTCTCCACAAGCGACCAACAGGTCCGCATACGATTGATCGTCTGCTATCATCTCCAAGTCTTCTGTCATGGGTCAGAGCGGCAAGATCGTTCCACAGGGTCCAATCAGCCGATAGACGAGCCGAGACTAAATTGTGCAAAATGTCTATCAGGATGGCATGTTGGCTCCACACAGATTCATGCGCAACATACTCCGTCACATCTGGAAATCTGAGCTCACTTGAGGTCCAAGCCCAGTGCACAGGAACAAAGTGCTCAAGATCTGCCAGAAAGAGGAATACCTGATCGGCCGTGAAGCACGTGTGCGGCAATTCACAATGTGCACTCCATCTCACTGAAGTCACGAGCCATCGGATGTGAAGTTCTGGGACAAATGATGGCGTATGGCATAAATTCCGAAAGAACAAAAGGTCTGGCGTCCACAATAATACATTTAATTGGCAATCAATTATCCTCGACGATGCCTCGAGTGGCATCAGGCCACAAGTGGTGTCAATGGGATTCGATCCCAAGGCTGGCGTGGTCGGTGGCACCTGATGGTAAGGTTCAATCGTTGTGTCTTGCATTCCGAAATATTGATTCGAGAGCCATCTATAGAACAACACCGGACAGGATGCTCTACGAAAGTGAGTCTGTAGGGCAAAATCCATCGTGAATACACTGTAACAGTGTTTGCATGCAAGTTCCCCTGGGAGTTGATCATATTCCGGTTCAAAGGAAAAAGCGCAAGGTCGATCAACTTGGTGTTCCTTCCTGATATGTGCACACAGAGCTTTGCGGCCTACCTGTGCATGACAAATCGGACAGGTGTATGTTTTGGCTGCGGCAGGGTGTTCGATGGAGGGCAAAACTAACATGTCCTTAATGGTCTTGGGTGTTGTCGACGGAGGTGCAGCGGATGATTTGGTATCGGTGGACACTACAGCATCATGTTGGTCAAACCCGTGTTTGGTGAAGAATCGAATGTGGCAAGTCTCATATGTATACAACTGATAAGGCACAGCGGTTGTGCCAGCAGGCTCAGGTTGATCGATTTCCATGGGTACAGGCTCATCTGTGTCACATACCTGAGCAGCAGTCGAATCAGGTGGCTGAGTCTGTGGCATGTCATCTGCATTCGATGAGATCAAGGTTTTCATCATGACTGGCATGCATGTCAAATGGGTAGGGTCATAGGTCTGGCCCATGAGTACGCTGAATTGGAATAGGATTCCATATTCATGGGTACGAACATCCTTGCAAATCGAATTGCAAAGACTACAAACCCCTTTGCCATTACCTAGATTGGCAAGACCACGAACTTGTTCACGACAATGTGATTCATAGATCAGCAATTATGGATGTGTATCTTTGTAGTGCTTACGAATGGCTCGACTCGAAATGACACAGTGGCAATATGCACAATGCTGACTGAGCTCTGTGATTAAGGCCTTATTGAGAAGAAGGCCAGGAATGGATCGATATCTCAAGTGCATCCTCAGGTCTGGTCTATTGCAGATCGGGACGATGCAATCCTTGGCCGACAAGGGGGGATCTGTATGTCTGGATTCGGCAAATGCAATAAGGGACCATTGGATGGTCGTGAACACCATTTACGATGGAAAGACAGCACCTATTTCCCTATCAATCTCATGATCACGAGACTCTTTTGAGTGTTAACTCTGAAGCCCGCTGCACGCAGGTCACAGAGCAGTATATCAAGATCTTGAAGTGCCATCAGGGCGGTGTGCGGGGAATGCACAATCCATCTGAAGTGCAAACACAACAATGTAATCACGAATCCATTCCATGGAGTGATTAGCCAAAAGACGATGCAAGAAATTATACATACAAATCGTCCAGAGGAAAGGTGCATCCCGAGCCCCCTGCTTAATACCTCGAGAGGCCCGGATCCTACCCACTAGGTCCTTATGCGGAATGCAATAAGTATGCGGCAGCAACCATGCATGTACGAATTGTCTGAGATTGTGATCGATCTCAAACAGGTCAAGTGAACGAAATGATTCCTATTGACCATATCAAATGCTTTCTCTAAATCTAGGGATACCTGGAGGCCTCCCCACAAACCGTTGGATGCAGGATCCTTAGCGTGAAGGTTGCAAAGTTCTTTCATTTGGCGGCAGTGAGTTGCAATCATCAGAAGACAATCCTTGGTGCCGCGTGCAGGCATGTATGCAAACAAAGGCATGCTACGAAGCTTGGGAAACGTAAGTTCCTGAAATTGCTGACAATGAACCCCCGTGAGGACTTTGTTTATGGGATGTTGCAAGCAAATGGGTCGAAGTGCTTCAGGTCGGTTGGGTGGTTTGTTTGGCTCACAAAGCAAATGAATCCATCCTGTGGTCCAGCAATCCGGGGGTTGACATTGGGTCTGGCCAAAGAAATGCTTAATATCTCTATACTGCAATGGTGTGAGCTCAGATGCAAAAATTCTTCCAAATCAAGGCAGGGATGCCATCAGGGGCCAAGGCTTTGGTCAGCGGGAGATGACAAAGGGGATCCTTGAGTTCAACCTCAATGAAAGGCAATCGAGTAAGTCCAGGCGGGGCATGATGCGGAAAGATCGGATCATGATACAGGTCATTGAAATACGATTCAACCCTTTCCAGCTCAGCCCAGATCAATACTTTCCTGCATGAATGTCTCAAGTCTGTTATGTTTATTAATCTTATTGTATTTGCGTATCCGAGCATATAACAGTTGAAAACGAATAATAAGAATCCAAGTACGAAAGCAATTCTGCAATGGACATGAAGTGTAAAGTTTCAATTGATGTCTGGCAGACCACATGTGTGAGGTGATCGAACCAAGTGGATGTGTAACATGAACCGATCGATATCCCGTGGAAAATGATCGATACATAATTGCCTCAATTGAAGTTCAATCTCCCTACTCTGTACCGTTGTGACTGGATTAGCAGCCCATGTATTTGATTCAGCATGCTGGCCAATGAGGTCCGGTGCTGCGCGATCAAATTGTTCCCACTGTGGCGTGTGATCCAAATATGCCTGTCGAAGACGAAAATGATCAATTGGAAAAGGATAGTCACTCCGGATCGGCGTGGCAAACCAACGTGGCAGTGAGATACTTAGAGGTCTGTGCACGGGGCCTGAAAGGCCTACAGTACGTTCAAAATGACAGTGAATAACAGGATTAAATTGATTCCATCTGAGCTGGTAATCTCTCATGAACATGAAATCTATGCGAGATGCATGATTGCCATGTACAAAAGTATATCGAAAAGCCTGCTTGCAATGTGGTGTAATTAAATGAAGCTCAATGATTAAATCCTAAAGATCAAATCTATCATTTTGTGGAGCCTTGTCAAACTTCTTGTCTGGGGTGCAAATGTACGGTTTGGCCTCGTTCAATGGAGTATTGAAGTTTCCTGCCACCAATAGCATGTAACACTTGGGGATATATCTGATGTCGTCAATCAAATGATCCCATAATCGCTTCCGATCAACAAAAAATTCATGTTTAGCACGTGCGGAAATCCATACATATAAATAAACACGGAAAAAATAATGAATTCTATGCATATTCAACCGTAGGTGAAAAAAATCGTCCAGGAAGAATCGCATGAAATGCAACCTAGTCAGGATTGATGATGGCTCTGCGTTCTGTAATGAGCATTATAGATATAAATCCAATGGGGAGGTATGCCGTTGATTGCAAAAATTCCAGCCAATTTCCTGGGGTAATATAATGTCGTATCCATTTTAATTATACTAGTATAATCATTCATCAATGTAGGTGCAGAGATAGGTGCCACTAGGGTCATAGAAAGCCTGTCAAGTGTTATAGCAGATTGTAGTTGAAATCTCATTGATATTTCAATGGTTCAAAGAATGCGTCCATAATATTCTATATATCCCTTATAGCAAGCACATCTATATGTTCGTCTCGATACCCTTTTAATACGTTTACATTTAAATAGAACCTAAATATAGCCTAGGCCAAATAGTGCCCACACCTCACTAACTTGCGCGCCCTTCTAACACGGAAAAAAAAATAACCAAATTCGATAACATTCCCCCTATCTAACGAAAAATAGACAACCACCCTCGTGCCAATATAGCCTATAATGTATCAAATAATAAATTTCCAATTATAATCCTCAAATTTAAGATTCAAATCTCCAAGTATAAATCCAACAAAATATCAAAGCAAACACAATCCACATACTATCATCGTACAAAAAATAACAATGCCCAACGAATTCAATCAAAAATTACATTTATTACAAAAATATAAATCAATATATATTCATAAATTAACAATATATCAAAACGACGAAAATCAATAATTTAATTTATAAATAAAATAATTCCTAAAATTACTATATCCTCCTCCGTCGATAAGTAATAACTACCAATCGCAAATATCTAATAAAATCGGAATATAATCCCATAATCAAATTCAATATATTTTATACTAAATATATAAATTATAATTTTATAATAGATCTTAAAATATATTTATAATTATATACAAAATTGATATATATAATTCATAATATATTATATAAATATCGTATAAATAATAAATTTAAAATATAAATTCAAACAAATATTTTTATTTATATCATTCATTCAAAAATATATCTAATTAAATATCATCATTAAATTAATAGTAATCTCCAATCTATTTATCAAAAAATAAATATATAAATTTTCAAAAAAGATTGCGATAAGTAATAGTACCCAAATTCAAATATCAATAATAAATTTCTATAATGCATACAAATCATCAACAACATCAATGCCCAAATTCGACCACAAATATTTCGTAAGCCCACAAACGCCTATATTCACCCCGCCCCAAAAATGCACAATATCATCAACATCCAACAATATCAATATCCTTCAATAACACCAACATCCAACCTCCAAAAGACATACGACCAAAATCGCCAACCATATAATATTCCAATAGTTAAACACTTACTTAAAATTGTTTAACGCAAATGCAAAAACAAAGTTCAAACAAACAAACAATTAAATATAATTAATTAAACAAGTTCATCAAAAATTTAAAACCAATAAGCTCCGTCAAACATATATATACTTGAGAGGAGGGAGACACGAAAGAAAAGATAGCGGGAAAAGAAAAAAACGCGAGAGGCAAGAACAAAAATGCAATATTCGATATGGTGATTTATTCCCTCGGAAGCGACCTTTCGTAAATATATGTTCATATGCACTTTAAATATTCAAACATATATTTTCGAAATGTTGAAAAAGATTCTTAGGAAAACAAATTTGTCCCCATCGATGAACATTAAATCGGAACATCATAGGATTTAAATTATCCTAAAACCATAAGAGGCTCACGAAGACGCTCCCCAAGAAAAAAGTTGACGTGCTTCACAAAACAAACTCTAGATATGTATCCCCTCGAGCAACACCTTTCGTAATTAGAATTTCATATTCATTCTTTCTAAATGTTCAAAAGGGTTTCAACTATCCTAAAATCATAAGAGGCTCACGAAACGTTCTCCAAGAAAGAATCAATCTCAGAGGGGGGAAGGAGGGGAAATAAGAGGGAAAAACACGCCCTATGTGTCGAAGATTGTTTTTACATTTCTCTTTATAAATTTCGGTTCTCCAAATAAATATTTATAAATATTTATAAATTTATAAATTTAGAGGCCCGAAATTTATAAATATTGTAAATATTATACTAATTACCACGGGATCCCGGGAATGCCAAATATTTATAATATCTATAATATTTATAAATTTCGGGCCTCCAATACGAAATTTATAAATATTATAAATATTATAATTTTAATTGCTACGGGATCCCGGGAATGCCAAATATTTATAGTATTTATAATATTTATAAATTTCGAGGCCCGAAATTTATAAATATTACAATATTTATAGTATTTATAATATTTCATTGCCACGGGATCCCGGGCCTACCAAATATTTATAATATTTATAAATTTAGTTGCCACGGGATCCCGGGAATGCCAAATATTTATAAATTTAGAAGCCCGAAATATTGGCATAATATGTATAAATTTAATTGC